GTGTACATGACAGGACTTCGATTGCACCCAGTTCCCTGCCACTGTCTGAAGGAAAACATTATTTTGAACGAAATACTTCGTTTTTTTCAAAATATAATTATACCTTTGATGATGACGTTGAAAATTATTCTGAAGATCTAGGCATCAACGAAATTATGCTACTCGATTTGGAGATTAAAATTGTAAATCACATGAAAAATAATTATTATGAGTCTAGCAACAAGGTACCTATTGAGAAGGTGCAGGGGGACGAGAAAAATGTCGACGAGTTGGGAGACCGAAGGACCTGTGGCAGCAGAGAGTTCTGCTTTGAAATAAATAACGAGAAATATTCCATGGATTTAAGTTTATACGAGAGTGCTAGGTATGTCCACTTCTTCAAGTCCGGTAACAATGTAGGGAGTCGTCGCACGATCAATCAGCACCACTCGAGCTTCCTATCCAACGACCACTGTAGCGAAAAAAGCGTGAAAACTAAAGGTAGAAAAAGCACACAAGGGTGCACCGCAAACAGTTGCGACCGAACACACAACAGTAGCAACAGGAAGAAAAACTTCTACAGCATTATTGAATACTTTCCCGGATACTTTTACAACAAAATCGAAATTATATACATCAATTTGATATTAATTTTTATTTACATGTATTGCCTTTTAATAATCACTGTGCATGGAGGACTGAACAACGATTTTCCATTATATTTTTATTTCCTAAATAAAAACAAAAAAAGAGGAAAAAGAGTAGCAAAACATAGGGAAAAAAAGAGTGACTGTTCAGAGCACAATGAAGAATTGACCAACTTAGAAGCGAAGAAGAAAAGTGAAGAAAAGACCTACACGTCCAACTTGCTGTTCAAATCAAAATGTATATTCAAGAATTGGAAACAGAAAAGGAAGCTGAATAAAAAGAACATTAAGCTTGACTTAGGCAAAAATCTCTCCTCAGACGCGCTGGACGACCTTAAAAATGCCAGCCTGTTTGAAAAAAATGTGGATGAGCTCTTCTGCGAAGAGAAGAAATGGGAAGAAAGGGAAGGAACAGAAGAAAGGGAAGCAACGGAAGAAAGGGAAGAAACGGAAGGAAGAGAAGAAAAAGATGAAAGGGAAGGAACAGAAGAAAGGGAAGCAACGGAAGAAAGGGAAGAAACGGAAGAAAGGGAAGAAACGGAAGAAAGAGAAGATAAAGATGAAAGGGAAGAAATAAAAGAAACGGAAGTAAAGGAAAAAAAGGAAGCGATAACGAATAAATACACGGCTAGCATAAAGGAAGAGGTGCCGTCCAAACCAGACCAGCAAAACGGAACACCTTTGACGAATTGCAGGAAATCCGCCGAACCTCAATTAAAGGACAACATTCAAAGTGATGATGCCAATGTGCTAACTGTCCCCCCCCTGCAGAAAGGCAAAGAAAGAATCGCTGCGTGTCCCACTTTAAATTTCGCCGTTGAGCTGCCCAACGTAGTATTATGTAGTATCGCAGAGGGGGAAGTAAACGTGAAAGGAGGCATCGCAGCGGAAGCGCTTCATAATAGCGGTGACAATTTTGCACCCAAATGTGGATATGACTGGGAAGGAGACCTCGGGGACGACTTTGCAGTGGAAGCTCAGCATAACAGGGATGATTATTGGGGGGCCCAAAATGCCTATGATTGGGAAGGCTACATGAGCTCGCACAACGGAGGGGGGGACCGCGGATCTGACATCAATCGAGTGAAGCCTCACTTCTATGATGAGAATCCCACGTGCCAGTGGAGCCCGGGATACTACGACGATGGTCGAAAGAGTTGTTTGACCCCACACCACAGTGATCCCAGTCAGGACCAACTCTTTATGACCTCCGAGGAGACCGCCTTCAACGAATTAAATAACAGCGCCCTTGACGACGCCTTCAATTTGAAGAAGAAGAAGATGCACCCCATTCGCAGCAAATTTAGGAAGGATAAATATTTTTCCCTTAATGAATTAAGAGACCACTGTAAAAGTAAATTAGGGACATATAACTTCTTCTCGCAGGAAAATCACCCGATGTGTAACGACCAAGGCTATGTAAGCCGTGAGAAAGGAGAGGATCTACATGGGAATAATGAAAATCAAAAGAAGACGATGAAAAGTTTTCTGGGAAAATTAAAAGATATGAAGGAAGAGAAACTTAGCAAAATTAAAAATATTTACAAATCCGAAAAATGCAACAATCGTTTTAAGAAAAGGTTCCACATGATAGAAAGCAAAATTAACAACGAAAGTGTGCAGGATAATTTTAGCTACAGTAAGGACAACCATTTGGCGAAAATCAAACAGAAAAAGGGAGAAAAATATGAACACTATAGTGAAAATGAATTTGACAGGTATAAAAATGTAGAGTTATTCGATTTGCAAAATTTATCTCCACCCTCTGGTGGCGAAAACAGGGAAAAATACGCCGTGGGGAAGCAGATGCTGAATAGTGCCGACGTAGGCGTAATACCCAGTGAGAACAATTGCGCGGTTAACCCGTCCTACGTCAGAAGTAGCACTGCAAGTAATTACAACAGAACTTACAGAAATACTTTAGTAAAAAACTGTCCCATGGACAAAAGTTTTATCTCCAACACGTCTACGTACAAAGAGGGGAAGTTCGAAAGAGAAAAGAAGGAAGACTCGATGGACCTAAAGATTAACCCCAGTTTTATGAATTACAAAAAGTATGACTTAGAATTTGCCACCGCTGACATGATCGAGGAGGACAAGAAAGCACGAGGAAGACATATCCTGCAGAACCTATCCTTCAATTCTAAGAGGAAGGAATTAAAAAACAAAATCATTTCCTACGTAAAGAGGAAAACGAATAAGAAGGAAAAAAATAAAAGTTACAAATTGACACCCGTGACGTTGGTTGAGAAAGAGTTACTAAGTGATGAAATGCACCTCGGGGGTCAAAGGAAATTGATTAATTTGATCAGCGATGAGGAGCGTACTTACTCCAATAAAGGCGTCGAGGTACACCATGTGGAGAATGAACGGGATAATAACTTATCTTTCATAAAAGACAACGACGAGTTTGTAAATTCTAAAGAAAAAAAGGAAAAAATTATCCCCCCCCTGAATGTGGGCAAGAAGTCAAAGAATGCCACTAACTCGAATGTTTCATTCACTGTGCCGAGGAGAATAATTAAAAGAAATCGAGACTACCTCAAATTTTACAGGAGCGGATATTTTAGCGAATACGACATGCATAGAATTATAAGAAGCAGGGAAAAAACGAAATTTGCATACTCAAACACTATGTATAAGAATATAAAAAAGGCGATTGAAAAGAAGCATGGAAGGGGGAATAATCAGCTTAATAGCAGAAAATCAAACGACTCTTTCTCCCAAAAAAGTGACAACGAAATGGGGGATAAGACGTTTAGTGGACCTACACACATAGCTGGGAAAAGTGAGACAGAACATTCTTTAAATATTGAACAGATGGACGAGGAAGAAAAAAACACACACAAGAACAATTTTAGCAAAAAAAAAAAATTTTTTTTTCACATGAAGAAGAAATTTCTCAAATTTAAAAATAAAGAAAAAAATAATTTATTTAAAGATAAGATAAAAAACTTGGTTAATATGCAGAACGCAAATTCGTATAACGAATATGACGACAGGGCAATCTGTTACGATGAAAATAGACTTCTTGCTCTCCCTGCTTCTCTGAAAAAAAATGCACCTAAGGCCAAAAAAAAGATGTTCTTCATGAATATGATGGAAAAAAGTAACCAAAGTATGGCTCTCAATTCTGCCGAGGAAAATGGCAATGGTAGAACTTCATCCGACAATAATAGAATTGGGAGTGTGAAGAAACTGCAGGAGAGTGAACCTAATGAAAATTATTTTAAAGCTATTCGAAGCAAAATTAACATTCTAGGTAATTCAAGTCGGGCATACGAAGCGGTAGGTAGTGAAGAGAACCCCCTTGAGCAAGGATATCTTCCCACGCAAGTTAATAAGAAAAACAAACCAGTTACAATCCGAATCAGTGATCCAGAGAATAGATATGTGACGAACAAGCCCTCAGCGTTGAAGCACTCCAGGTGTAGGAGTAAAGTGGTTTACGTTAACAAAGACAGCTGCATTTGCAGTAAACGTTCCTATAAAGATTTGCATGAACTCACCAAATATGCAAATCAAAGCAGTTTAAAAAAAAAAAAAGAGCGAGAAAAACACTCCATAACTATTACTGTCAGTAATTATAATAAATTTCTTCTAAGCAAAAAGAATTACTACACTGGTCTGGAAAAAACGAACTTTTATCTCAAGTGTTATTGCAACATTGCACTTGTCGTAATTAACTACCTTTTAATTTTCACCATCACGTATATATATGCGAGCAATGTGTATGACCTCTTTTTGTGCGCCAAGCATGTACATTTGAAAGCAAAGAAAAGAGAAAGAAAAAAACACTCGGATTTTAACAACATCGTCCGAATAATATATCATAAAAACATTTTTGCAACAAATGATAATTCGATACATATAAGCAAACATAAAAATATGTACATGAAAAAAAATATATTCGCACAAATATTTGTGCAGAATAAAAGACAAAGTGCTAAGACCAGTGTAAAATATGACCAGGAAGAGATGGAGGAGGAGAAAGAGGAAGAAGAAGTTTCATCGGATAGCAATAAAATGAAAAAAACAGACATTCGAAATTATCATTTTAATCCAAGTAAATACTATGAAGAAATTAAGGACAAGAAAAATATTCTCAGTTTGTACAAAAGCGCAAAGAGCAACATTAAAATGTTTATGTCGAAGCATATGATTCTTAATCTTTATTTGGAAAAGTTTCTAAATCTCTTCAATCATAAAAATTTTAACCTCACAAAGGTGCGTTCTTTGCGCATGTGTATGTTTTACTACACCCGTTCGAACTTTCCTGAACTGTTTCTCCACGTTGGCACAAATGACCATCCCCCTACCTGCACTTCCCCTTAACAGATTGTCATATCACTGCTGGGATATTTCTCCATTCTATTACTTTCGATCAAATTCCACCATTTGGTCATTGTAAAATTGTTGCACCTGTACTACAAGGTAGGTTCAAACTCTTTCACCCGCAGTTTGAAGGACTGCTCCTCAACTTCTTGCAGAAGCCAACGAACCTTTTTCTCATGTTAGCGTTTGTGTCATTCGCCCAATTTTCAGGGGTACACGAGGAGATATTACAAAAACGTTGTTCTTAACAGCATCTTGGAGAACATTAAAAACGTGAAGATAAGTTTGAAGCTGTATAAGCCCATCTGTTCCTTAAACGTAATTATAACAGGCTAGCCGTTAACACACGAGCATATTTGCGCCCATATATATATTTATGTGTACCACAATGCCATAGCGTGCATGTATATTTGAGTCCACTGTTGTGGAAGATACATTTTATTTTTCCACGCCTCTCCCTTGTATCAATTACAGGAGGAAGAGTGTTTTGCGCTGATTGAAGAAATTAACAAAACATGCAACCAGAATTTGAATATATCCCAATTTAAGGTGAGTGTTTTTTTCTTTTTTTTTTTTCTTTGACACCTTGTCAATGTGCTCGAATGCGAAGGTGGCTCATCACTGTCGCATGCGCCTATGCATGGTGTTTGTTTATATATTCACACATGTGCATGGTGCGTGTTTGTATCTTCACACATGTGCATGGCGCGTGTTTATATCTTCACGCGTGTGCATTTAGTCGAATGAGTAGAACATTTCTACTCTGAGCCTCACAATTCTAACACCCTTCACCCACCGTGGAAATTCCCCTCTTTTTCAGGATATCAATGACGAATACGACTTGGCTAACGTCATTATGACAAATTTAAGTGAATTTTCCGAGATGAAGAGAATAATAAGGCAAGAATGGAACCTCAACCTGCTGAACAATTCACCCAATGATAATGCAAACTTGGTCACTGCACGGAACAACACGTCGTACTGATACACGAAATGGGCGCACGCGTGAAGATCCTAAAAGTGAGCGATCCTTTTAGAAAAAATAAGGAATATCACTTTTTAATTTCTAACCCTTTGCCCCGTACGCACTCGCTGGAAAGGCGAATTGTACTGTGGGTCATTCGAAGGTTTTTTTTTTTTCTTCTTACCTTATTTCCCTTTTGAAGCACATTTTTGCATAGAAGCTATTTGATTCGCCACCCTATGCCCCTTATACATATATTCGTACATACGCATATGTATATTTGCATGGCTCGCTTTTTGTCAGTGAAGGGGATCCCCCTTTTCAGTGGGGGGTTCTTTTTTTTTACAACACATTTTTTGTACTTTTCTTTAAAAAGAACCAGCTCTCCAATTTCTTGTAAAATTAATTTTTCATTTTGAAGTACTTTTCTTTTTAAAAATGAGGAATAAAAAGCGCAACCATGCAAACCCTTTCTTGACACCGCGCACGTTTTCTATACGAGAACACTTTTATAATGTTCCACTTGCTAAAGATACGATAAAAAAATAACTCAACTCAGCTGAGAAAATAAAAGTAAGAAAAAAAAAAAAGGTTCACATTGCTGCTTAATCTTAAATCTGTTTTTTTTCTTTTTTGTGAAACAGCGAAACGACGAAACAACGGTTGACGCGGGAGAAACAAACTCTCTGCAGCCGTGAAGCACAAATTGGTCAATGATGAAATTGCAATCTTGCACTGGCGAATTGCGAACTGCCTGGCAAAACAGTTGCTAAATTAAAAATTGACTGAAAAGTTAATAGCGCAAAACAGAAAAACCACATTGTATATAAGTGTATATATTTACATAGCATGCACAACAAAATTTATTCAAGTGGAGAAAAAAAAATTTGGAAGGGAAAGAGGGCTTGTTATTTCAACCCATGAAAAAAATTATATATTATTGTAAGTGAATCCCCTGCTCCTTTATTTTAGCAATTTACGCCTATTCGCTATTTGCTTATTTGTTCACGTTTTTTTTTAATACCTCTGCGGCTTATTTTATTGTCATTTTTTCAGTGTACATAAAATAAACCATGAATAAATTCAATTACGTTTAACTCTTTTACACGTATAACGCATAACACATAACGCTGTTGTATATCAACGTTATGTAGAAAAAGAAAGAAAAAGCAGAAGCAGAAAAAAAAAAAAATTGTGCGAACTCGTGACAATACGCACGAGAAAAATTAACATAGAAAATAAAATAATTCATTTAAGAGGAAAGACGAACTTCAACTTTCAACCGTTTGGGGGATATTTCATAATTTTAATGTTTTACGGTAATTATTTATTTACCCGTATATATTACATACGCGCGTTTATACATGTACCACTTTTATGTCGCATTTGATGTATGTGCCAGTTGGAACCCGTGATTAAGCATTCCCGTTTTTGCTCTTTTGCGCTTTCGCGAAGCTGCCCTGCCCTGGGGTTCCAAGCAGTTTCTCCACGTGCGACGCATTTGCGCGTATATATGTAAAATTAATACATATATGTACGCCTCATTTACGTGGCCATTCGATCCAGTCTTCAATCACAGCTTTGAAAAAAGGGACACAACTATGTGTTCCGCTGTTTATGCCACTTTTGCCTTAACATTTTACGAATTCATATTTCCCGTTTTTTTTTTTTAAACTATCTTGAGTTGGACAAAGTTGCAACAGAATTATTCGTACCCACGTGTATATACTTCCCCTTTGTACCATTGAATTTGAGACGTGCCTGCCATTTCGAGGCTCTACATATGTATATATATATGTGTATATATATATTTATATGTATTGATGTTTAGTGCACAGAGGAAGGACACAAATTGCATGCGCTCTGCGCGTTTGCATAAGTATACACATAAACGCGTGGGGACTTACGTAAAATTTCTTGTATAAGTATTCCCACGAAGATCCAAACGGCTCAGTTTCAAAACCGCCTCGTGAACACCCCACCACGTTATTTTTAGCTATCGTCTAATTTGACCCCGGGTTTATGTTCGCGTTTTCCGCTCCGTTCATGTGTGCATTTGTGCGTCCGCCTCTTCTGTTTTCCTCATTTTTCTATTAAATGGAATTGTAATGAATATAACAAAATACCTTGTGATCATCCTCCCTCTTATCCTTTTAAAGTACCCCACGCGGAAGGGACTCCTGAGCCATGACAACGTTTTGTTAAGAAGTAATATAAGGGGGGCACTGTTAAGAAGAATTATTAAGGAGGAAAATGGCGACAAAGGCAAAAGTAAAAAAGAAAAAGAAGAAGAGAGAGAATATGAAGAATATTTACAAAATAAAGGATCAAACGAATTTGATAAAGTGAAATACAAATATATGGACTATGTAAATTTTAGCATTCATAAAAGTTCCAAAAAATACAAGCACTTGCTAAACGAGACCTTAGTCTTCCTGGGTTCTCAGTACAGCACGGATGAAAAGGTAACCTTTCACGTAAAATTAATTGATATTTTGTCTTTACTATTTGTTTACTACCGAGATAATTTGAGCACCTTCGACCATGTTATAAATAGCTTCCAAGACAGAAACAAGTTAATGAATTCTATTGAAAATGAATTTTTCAGAGAATTTATTGATGAAAGGGACAACTACATTTTCGAGGTGAAAAATATGTACTACAAGGTTGACCACAAGAATGAAGAAAAGGAAAGAATTTTAAGCAAAAAAAAAACAATCTATGAAATATTTTTACAAAATTGGAAAAATGACGGATACCGTTTTTACAGTATGAATAATAAAAAAAAGGTTTACATACCTAAAAAAATAGATAATAAGAAAAAAAAAAAAAATGGGACCGAGTATAGTTTGCAGTGCCGAAGTTTGGTTTCCAGTCCGCAAGAATCAGAGGAGGGGAAGGGGCCCAATGAAACAGACTCTGATAAGGGATCATCCACCCCTAGTGAGGAGACCAACTCGAAAGAGAAACAGAACGAGGGCGGTGATGCCAAAAAGTTGTCGCATGTGGAGGACGACGTGGACGAAGAAACGCACGAGGAGGTAGAAACGCACAAGGAGGTAGAAACGCACAAGGAGGGAGAAACACACGAGGAGGTAGAAACACACAGGGAGGCAGAAACACACGAGGAGGTAGAGCACACGAAAAAAGGGGGCACGAACAAAACGGAAGAAGCGGCGTCTGCAGCGAAGAAACAAGGGCAAGAGGAGAACGACGCCGATGAGTCAGACGAACTGTATGACCACGACGTGTACGAGGATGACGCGAAACGGGAGGCCCTCCTAGAAAGTTATAACAATCAAATCTGCCACGCTGCAGAGAACAGCGAAGGGGGCTCAGCCCCAATGAGAAAATACAGAAATGGAATACCAGGAGTTACGTACAAAATGAGAAAAGATTTTTTCCTAAATGGAAGTTCATTTAATGTCCTAACCCTAATCAATGCGATAACGTCGAATAGGGATAACGCTACCGTGACGAAATTGTACGAAGCTTTGAAAAAATTAGGAATAACAACATTTGACCATCTGGTTAGATACACGAACATTATAGGAATCTTTTTCTCATACGACATTTTTGATGAATTATATTTACAAATAAAATTAGTGAAAGAATATTTTGGGCTTATAGAGAAGAAGAAAAACGACTTTGCCATAGTGGAAAAAGTAGAAAAGAGGAAGATGAAGAAACGAAAGGCCTATGGAGAGTACAAAATGAGCGACGATGAAATGTTCGCACCGCCAAATTGTTTGAGTGCATATTGTATGTTGAAATCTGTGTGGATGAGAAACAGAAATGTAACAGTGAAGATCGAAAGGAGCAGTAGCAATAGCATGAATTTTATGATGCTAGGAGATATTGGGCAAGGCTTTGAAGAAGAAAAGGATTTCGATGTACAGAATATGCTAAACCTTATGGGATTTAATGAGTTAAAAAGTACCGTACAGACGATGAAAGATTGGCATTTTATGAACAATGCTGATTTTGTAATCAATTTAGGAGATAATGTGCCAAATGATGGAGCTATGAATTATATGGAGAATTTCCAGTGGCATAATTTAATGAAGGAACTATTTGTGTTCAAGAAAAGGAGTGAACAAGAAATTAACAGCATGATGGGGCATAACCCGCTCACCAAACAAACCATAAAAGATTTTTATAATGAAAAAATGAAAGAAATGCAGGACCATTATAATAACATACAGATAGAGGCCCCAGAAATGGAGGAAAAGAAGGAAAAGAAGAAGAAAAAACCAAAGAAGAAGAGCGATAAAAATGAGGAAAATAAAGTGGACTCTTCTTCCAACGAGAAGGACTTTAGCCATTATGATAATAACCGTAAGAAATTGTACCAATTTGATGATGAAGAGTCGGATGAAAATTTTGAAGCCATTCCGTTTTACTCCATTTTGGGGGAAAAAGATTACTTCTTCTTTCCGAGCGAACAGATTCAGGAACACTACTCGTATAGAATCCCAGGTTATTTTATGCCAAACAACTACTACTGCGTTAACTATGATTTTATTTATAACAATGTAGGGTATAAAGATATAATTAGCCAAGAAAAGTTCAGGGCATCCTTTATTTTTATCGATACGTGGTCGTTAATGGTGGGATTTCCGATCATAAGAAATTATCGCTCCTTTCGGGAACAATTCAATTGGCTCAGTAAAACGTTATACGAGAGCGCAAAGAATAGTGACTGGATTTTCGTCATAGGGCATCATCCTCTAATTTCAAGTGGAAGACGAGCCGATAACTACTCCTATGAGGAACATTCCTTCCATGATATTTTGAGAGATTTCCTTTTTAATTACAATGTAGATGCTTATTTCAGTGCACATGACCATTTAATGGAATACATTAAGTTCGGGAACATAGACCTGTTCATTAATGGATCCTCCTCCAGAGTTCTGTTTGATAACTCCAATATGGGCAGAGGTTATTTTGGCAAAGTGATAGGGAAGTTATACCCAGTCAGTTGCTACATTTTGAAAACCATCCATCGGGGACTGAAGCCGAAAGGCTGTAGCGTTAATAGGTATTCCAAATGGTCGAACAAAGCAGATATTGGATTCAGCGCACACAAATTATCTAAGGATGAATTCATCACGGAATTTATCAATGGTAGAACGGGAAAGCCACTCAGCCATAAGATTGTGCTGAAAAACAAAAGAAGTGAAAGAAAAAAATTCTACAATCTGGATGGATATGCAGATGATAGGATTGAACAATTGGAAAAAAAAATAAAAGAATTTGCAGAAAAAAATCCAGATTTCATAAAATATAAAATTGAAGAATTTAACGAAAATATCAGAAAACTTAATTTGATCATGAAGACTTTAAAAACAAAAGAGGAGAGTGAAAATTTTAAGGAATTACTCTTCCTGAATAACCTAATTTTTGACGTGTCCAAACACCTTTCCGGGATGACCAGCGAAAAGTTAAGAAGCATGCACGCGCTTGCGGAAAAGTACGCCATTTTTTTTAACAAAGAACTTGTCAATCACATTGTCGTAGCGTTGGAAAAAGCGGTACAGTCTGAAAATAGCGACCCGGACAATCTAAATGAAGCAATCGATGAAGAAGAAGCTGAAAGGAGGCTCAAAGAAAGACAGAAGAAACAGAATGAGGAGAAAAAATCATTGGAGATTATAGAAACCTTGGGTTATAAGCCTGAACAATTTTTAGAAAAGTACGACAGCCTGACGAAAGAAGAGAGGGATCTCTTGAAGGAGAAAGTTGGAAAGGATGTTGCACTCGAGGATTATGTTAACAGAATTAGGGTCTACGTCGAGAAGAAGAACTTAAATGAAAGCGATTTGGAGGCCATGCAGGAAAAGCTAGACGCGGAGGAAGGTGGCGATGCCGAGAAGGCGAATGAGCAGCAGGGGGAGAGCGGCGAGGAGAGTGACCAGATGAGTAGCGAGGGTAGCGAAGGGGGTAGCGAAGAGTCTATCGGCGAAGTCGCGCTCGTGAAGGATGTGCACAAAACGCACAAGAAATTCATGTTTAAGGAAAAGGCCCTATCCGAACAGAACTACATTTTGCTGATGCTTAGCGCTTTGAAAGTCCATGACAAGAATAAATATGCCCTGAATATGAGTACCAAAAAGGAAGACATAAAAAGCATTGCATCTTCCAATTTTCTCTACAATATAGAGAACCACAAAACTTTCTTCCAGTTATGTATCGAGTTAGCTCCAGATATTAAGAGGGTTATCAGCAACCTTGGCGGAGTAGGAGTGAGGCTTCCCTTTTTCAAGTTAATGAATAAGCTGTACGATGAAATAATGAAGTTAAGGGACGGAATTGACCCAATTGCAAAGTAATTTTCCTGGCACCCGAGGCCACAGTTGGGATGGACACCATTGTTAGGCCCTGTCCGGGTCTACACCGGAACTATTTGTTTTATGTTTTAATGTTTATAGTTTAATTTTTGTATTAAAATGAATTTTTATAGTGTTTTTTTTTTAATGTGCACCTCCGTTTGTCAAAAATGTCATCGCTATTTGAAATGTGAAAAATAAGCAAATACAATTCTTTTAATTTTCTTTTCGAGAAATCGTTTATTCTTTTTTATGCTAAGTTGAAATATGTGATGTAGCCCTCCCCCGCACCGTAGAAGCAAGCCGTTTGATGTTCTTAATCTGTTACATAATTATTCCAGCTGTGGCAATAGGGTTTTACCTCCCACTCTGCACATGAATTTATTGTGAACACGCTTCACCTGATTTCGAATTAGGCACTCCTTTTTTTCGCCTTATTTCGCCT